CGTAGGTGTTTTTTCTGTTAGATACACTAGGTAAGCAGGTGGGTGCCACCCATGTGAAGTTTTGGTGGAAACTTTTGTTAGATTAGATAGGCAGGGTTTTTGTTTTCTTTTGTTTCTGTAGCACAGTCGGTAGTCAGGCCCTGTTTTGTATTATTTTCTCTGATTTGGCACCACCTAACCGCCCCTTTCTCCCCCACAGTTTGTGTGAGCCTTCTGGGATTTTTGTCATCAATAAATCCCTTCTTTTTACAACATTCACTTGGACTCTGTCAAGTTTTTATGGTTGTCGTGTTACTCCCCTCCTCCTCACAAAGGGGGGGGCCGTAACAGTGTTAAACATCTTTTAATTTTCAATTTTAATTAATGTTAGACATCTATGATGCTTGAGGAGTCATAATGTTGCTCTACTGACTAATAAAAACTCTAGTTGACCAAACATTTGCCAATAAAATGTTTTTAAAGGTGACCTGCCATTCTTCCTTGTACATTTTCACTACATTTTTTGCACAAAATTATTCTTAGATCATAGGATTTTTAAGTTTTTTTGAGCTCTTTGCAGAATGAGACGATTTAGGGTCATCTTGTCACTTTAAATCCAAATAACCTGCTGCTGGCCACGCCCCCTAGCTCAATGTTTATACTGAAAATAGCCTCAAACAGATGCGCAATTACACAACCAAACATCTTTGAAAAGCAGAAGTAGAGCTTCCCGCCCAACCGACAAGAATGCAGCAAGTGGTTTCTGAATTCTAAGTCAACAACAAAACACTTTGTTGCCGTTGTACATCACAATCAGGATGTTTTTGGAATGCCTTGTTTTCCAGACACCAAAAAACTTTAACTTATTACCAAAGGGTGACTGGGTGGGATTTTTTTAAACACTTGGGCTGTTTTTAGAAGCAGTATAAACAAAAATGGGAGTACAGAAACCCCACAAGAATTCCTAGGCGATGAGCGGAACTCTGCTGGGGTTGCTAGGTAACGGGCTTTACTTAGCTGGGGTTGCTAGGTAACGAGCAGCGCCTGCTGATTTGTGACGCTACATTCTGTAGGTTTTTGAAAGGGTTCATTTTCCAGAAAACATCAACTAATTGCCATAAAAAGGTGAGGTGGGTTTTTTTAAGCCCTTGGGTTGTTTTTAGAAGCAGTGGAAACTCAAACAGAACAAAAGCATTAGAAATGTGAATTTTGCCTATAACCCCTTTAAATTTAAATATCTTCTACAAACAGATGGTGATGTTTGTACACAAAAATAAAAAATGTCTTCAAACCTATATATAGAGACAATGAATGAAGCATTGGTCAGTATCACACCCACAACTACAGCTATTTTCCTGGCTGGAGCTTTATCAATACACAACTTATCACTTTGTCCACCAGTCCTCTGTATGTCCTTGCACATCAGAGCACTATCCTACAAGATAAGGAACAACCCCATAGCAGAGATAAACATGCTGTAAGTTGGCAGATTAATTATTGACTTCTGCTGGACGCTCTGATAAGCAACACAACAGAGGAGTTTGGGGATTGCAGAGTAACTGGGAAACTCACACTGGACAGACAATGGAGAATTACTGTTAGGTTGGTTTAGTTCAGGAATGACAAACTCATTTTCATTTGGGGCCTTATCAAGATCACAAATGTTCTTAAAGAGTCGGTCGTGTCTGAATGCATTGGTAAAATCCATCAGCTGTTAAAAATATTAACAGCAGTGTCTGCATCTGATGAGTACTTTGTAAAATTAAATAATATTGAACATGTTTTGAAACTGATCAGTCTGATCAGAATTTAAAAGTTTACTACAAAATAATGCAGAAATTTGAGATTAATCTCAGAAATTTTCTAGGAAAAACTAGGAAATTTATTTTTGATTTTTTGATTGAAAAGTTGAAAATCTACACAAAAAACTCAGAAATTTTGAGATTAATCTCAAAAAGTTTCATGAAAAAGCCTGGGAATTTCTGAGTTTCAAAACTTGAACATTTTTGACTCAGAAATTTACTTGTTTCTTCTAGAAAATGTTTTAGCATGATCTCAAAATTTTTGACTCATTATTACACCATAATGGTAAAATACAGTACACCTCATCGTGTAGTAGTTAACATAACATATGTAGTTTTCATATTAATCTCAAAATTTCTGAGTTTTCCTCCCAACTTTTCAACTTTTGAAACTCTAAAATTTCCTTGTTTTTTCAAGAAAATTTCTGAGATTATTCTCAAAATTTCAAGTTTTTTGGCAGAAACTTTCTTTTCTGTCCATCTACAAAATTATTCATCAAAATGACAATATTATTGTTTATTGTAATAATTTCTGAGGCAATTTATCATCCAGCTAAGTTTGTTAATGTGACAGGCCTAATAATGAGCAAACCAAGTTTTTGAGGTCAATACTTATGTCACACTGCTCAATTTTGATTAATAAATAGTAACTCTTTTTTACTTTTTAATATTAAAGTGGCAAAGAATTACTATAACTTTTTAGCCCAATCTAGCATGTTTTCTTCTCCATCTGTTGAAGCAGGAAGGCTGAACAATTACCACCATATAACCAGTGAAACCTGCTGTGTTGCACAATATACTCCATCATTTTCATCTTGCTGTTTAGCCACCACAGTCTAAGAAATACCCACTTATTTTGGGATGTCAGCAAAATTGGGAAAGTTAGCAAATTTTAGTGTTCAGGGAAAAAGACATCTGGCTTCCTTCTCCACACGCTCTTATTTGATCTGGCACACACAAAGGAGTTTGGTTTTACTCTCTAAGGGTGTAATTAGAGGTTGGCCTGGTGCACCTTGGAGCTATCACTACTCCTAATCACACACTGCTACCCAGTAGCAGCAGATTGCACTTTCAGATTGCTGCTGACTAACACACTAAAATGTTTTCAGACAAAACCTTAATGCACAAAAACTCTTCCTGGAACAGATTCCCAGTTTACCCAGTGGTTGTAGAAGGAACCAGTTCTAATAGCCTTGAACTAGTCATGAGTTTTGATTCTTGATTGACCCAGTTTATGTTCAGAAGAAAAATGCAGTACAACCCATCATGTAGAAGTTAACATATGTAGTTTTCATTTTATGCATCTCTCATCATTCCGAAGGTATTTTGTACAACTTCTCTTTACAGAATTGCTTGCGATAACATAGTTATGCCCTGTTCCTCTGATACTGATGATAAATAATTCCTTAATATTGATGAAAATGTACCATTTCCACTGGCACATTATTTCACGTATAACAAGACATTCTCCCAGTTTTATAATGACATAATCTGCCAGTGGAACTAGCACTGGGTTGCTAGGTAACGGGCTGGGCTTGGCTGGAGTTGCTAGGTAACGGGCTGGGCTTGGCTGGAGTTGCTAGGTAACGGGCTGGGCTTGGCTGGAGTTGCTAGGTAACGGTGCAGTGCCCGTCAATTTTGAAATAAGTTAAACAATCTGCCAGTGGAACTAGAATTTTTTTCATCAATATTAGGAAATTATTTACCTAAAACAATCGCCTACAGTTTGCACCAATCCAATGGTTGAATAACTAATTACAGTACATATTTGTCATTGAGCTCATATATATCTATTTATTCAATCATTTAGCAGCAAAAAGGGGTTTTGACTTGAAAGTATTGCTTATTTTGTCAATATATGGTTTTCAATTAAAATGTGATAAATTAACTTAAATTAACTAAATTTTAATCGAGTCCAGCCATTATTTTTATTTTTTATTTTTTCATTTTAATAAATAAAATATTGTCCCTCGGATGTTGCCATGTTGTTTACGGTCCAATACATTCTGGGTAGATGACAAACGGTAGATACTATGGTGCTTGCTCTGTCCAGCCAGAACAGTTATTTTTTGAGCAGTAAGCAATGCTCAGCCCTTTCATTTTGAACCGGATGCTTTGAAATAATTATTGACCCTGTTGACATACATCTAAACACCAGTGCAAACGTCAACCACAGACCTGTACAGGACCTCCAGTAACTTACCACACTAACCCAGCTTCCTGACAAGATGCAGACTAAAGTATCTGAAGATGTTGACCAGTGCAGCTTTCTTTCCCATAAAGTTTATAGCTGTGAATGGATATTTGTTTTTTCCACCAATATTTCCCTGGTCAGGGATCCAAATCCTGCTACTCACCAATTCCCCTTTCTCCAGCTCTTCCTAATCCTTAATACATCCCAACCAATAAATAGTTGCATTTACTTCAGTAACTTTTTTGAAAAGATATACTTTTAGGAGTAGTTTTACTGCTATTCATTTAAAAGTAATTTTATTATGAAGTATTTCTGCTCTTACTTGAGTAGATTTCTGGATTTTCTACCCACTGAATGAAAAACAAACATGTTTTAACCAAAACTTCACCAGACACAGACACACACCTGCAGTATTTGTTAAAGTTTTATAAGTTTTTAATTGAAATAAACTGATTTGGAAAATTTTTCTTTTGCCTGATTTAGTTATTTTTTGTTATTTATATGATTTATTGTCATTTTGGAATACCCAAATTTCCACTTAACCTGATATTTTGGTCCATCTGATGATGTAATTTTTAAATATTAAGTGATTGATAATTTGACTTTTACTTGAATAATTTCTTGGACTACTTTTTACTTTTACTTGAGTAAAAATTTGTTGAAGCAGTTCTATTTTTAATTGAGTACAGCTTTTGGGTAGTTTGCCCACCTCTGCATGTCTCTGAGTTGTATTTAAAGTTTGGGGTTTACAAGGTGAACAGAAACAGAGACGGGTTCTCCGGTGTTTCTGATTTCCATTTCAGACGGGATTCTCCCCGGTGGAACGTGATGAAGCTGGTCTGACAGGTAATCAGGAGACCAGGAGACACTGGGAGCACAGACACCCATCCAGAGCAGTTTGTCTCCCAGCAAAGATGGCTGGACCAAATCAAGAAACAAGACTGACAGCATCACCCACTAACAACCTTTAGAGAGGGACGAGGCTGAATAAATTGGGTGGCTGGAAGGAGAACTGAAGATCTCACCAGTGGGCCAAGACGAGTCTGAACCAAAACCAATCTGTGTGACATCAGGTCGAAAGGTCTGAAGTGAATGAGGCCAAAATGGTACACTGCAAAAACACAAAATTTACAAAGTTATTTTTGGTCTAGATTCCAGTGTAAATATCTTCATTTGACTTTTCAGCAAGATGTGAGAGCTTGAATTTTCCTCATGTTATTGGTCAAATAATTAAGAACTATTTTTTGTCAATATTAAATAATTATTGACTCATATCTTGTTGAAAAGTTACTTTCACATTAGTCATCTTATTTTAAGTGAACTGAGACATATGCACTGGAAACTAAACTAAAAATACTCAAGATTTTGTGTTTTTGCGGTACTGACAGCTTGAGTCTTACCAAGTATTTTATTGAGATTTTAGTGCAAATATCTTAGTAGACTTAAAATAAGACAAAGCTGTAATGTGTAAGTAACTTTTAAGTAAGACAGGAACTTATTTTAAGTCAATAATTCCTTAATATTGATGAAAAACTGGTAAAATATTTCACTTTTAACATGAAAAAATGTCTTGTAATGCTGAAAAGATAGTTGCACATTAGTTTTTTTTATATCAAGTGTACTAAGATATTTTCCCAAGAAATGAGACTAAAACTACTTTGTAAGACTATTTTTTCCCCATTTCCTCTTCTATTTCACCATTGCTCAGTAGGAGGTCATAAATCCACACAAACTGAGCCACCCTGAGCAATTATGATGCCTAAAAATGCTGCAGGGAACATAACTTTAATTTAGGTAAAATAAGTCAGAGGAAATGTGCTGGACATAGAAGATAACCAGTCGAGTTAGTTTTTAAAAAAAAAAATCTGTATTCCTGCAGCTAACTTTATGTCTGACTCCAGAGACTCTCCACATTCCTGAAACAAAGAAGTGTTTGAGCACAATCAAGCAAAAGTTTCCCTCCTCTTACCGTTTCTATGAATCTCAATGAGAAAGTCTTGAGAAGTGGTGGCCAACAGATTGCCCGAGGCGGCAAAGGACAACAGCAGCAGCAGCAGCATGGTAAACTTTATGTATCCGCAATGTGCAGAATATTAACTCTACAGCAGTCTTTCTCAAACTGTGGTCCGCGGCCGCCCCCTGGTGGTCCGCCGGGTACTACATGGGAACGACCGTTTATTTACTGTGACGTCAGCTCAAGTGCGACGCTACAGCTAGCTTACCAAAGAACTGTTTACAAATAATAAACACTAAGAAGAAAAACTGAAAAAAGAAAGCAACGCCAGGACTACTTATATAATCAGAGGAAGTTATACCTGCTGACAGTTCTAATGTATCGTTCACGAACGATTCAATTCTTTTGAACGACTCTATGCCGTGACGGCAGGACGGGACTCGGTCAGTTGGTGAGAACTGTTTGTTTTTTAGGACTTTACTTCCTTGTTTTGTAATTTAAAATGATTAAGTTAAATTAGCTGAATTCAATAGATAACTTCTATTGATAAAAATTGGTGTTAAATTTGGATACTTTAATATCCATATTAAATTATGGATATTCCATAATTTAACTATGGATTAAATATCCATATGCTTTGCCTTTTATTCTGGCAAAGCAACTCAAGTCTATTTGTCTTTTATTGTGCTAATAAATTACAAATAGCCCTATTAGTGAACATAACACTTGTAAAGAACACCTTTTTATTTCCATGTGTTTGACGTCATTACAAACACTTTCAGAATCTGTAAATAACTCAATTTGCCCGAGTTGACATTGTTCATGCCTTTGTCATATTTACCAAACAATAAATGAACAAAAAAAAACAAGAATAGGTGAGTTAAGGGACTATTATTTTCATTTCAGATAGTATATATTAATAGTTTGTGTTATTGTGGGGCAATTTCAAGTGAGGTGAATGTTTGTTAAATGAGTTAAGAGTTCCTCAGCCTGAAAAGGTTTGAGAAACATGGCTATACAGAGTAACTCATGTGACACAATGAAGCTACAAAATGGCTCCTGTTTTTAGAAAAGCAAACATTCTCATGCCTCAATACATTTGAATATGTTTCATCAAAGAGAAGCCTAGCAAAAGAAATTTAAAATAATCTTCTTTTAGTTTATTTTTCTGATGAGGAAGGAAAACAAGCATCAAAGAAATGGCAGATTGACAGTTTTCTTTCGACTGTTTGGTCAGTGGGTGTGTAATTAATCCTTCTGAGGGAACCTCTGACTGTCCTGCTAACCAGCTGTAAGATGATGATACGTGAACAGAATATGCAGCATGCATTATGCGGTTCTTGGCCGCGCAAAGCAGGAGTGCAAATTTAGAGAATGAAGCAACACTTGTGATTAAATATTTGCTGCTTTTAAAAATGGACTTCAAAATTCTTCCAGCTCTCACAGTTCACTGGTGATGGAAGTTCATAGAAAAACCAGACTTTTGCATTTTTTATGTAGTAATCCCCCATTGGAAAAAAAAAGAGAGGGGGGTTGTGGAATAAATATCTAGCGAGAAGCAGAGTTCAATGTTTGGTTAAAAACTTAAACATTAGTTTTTGAGGTGAAGTAACTGGGAAATTGTGATCAAAAGTGGTACGTGTCAGTCAAAATTGTAAATATTTTGCCTTAAAGATGTCAGACCTCTAATACTAAACTTCTTCATATCTAGCAAAATTGGTGTCAAACATTTGTAAAACAAAAAATGTAATTTGTCCCACTATAATTTTAAAGATATTAATAAATGTTACCAGAGGTCATGAAAGGTCAGCCCCTCCCTCCAACTACCTTTTTCAAGTCAAACAAGTTTGTTGTCAATCAGCTCAACTACGTTTGTGAAGCAAAAATTTTCGTTTAAGCTGCTTTTGCTTTGATGATACTATGAAACTTGAGGTCAAAAGGTCAACCAACTGCCCCACTTTACCCAACAGCACTTCTCTGTCAACATGGCTGGGGAAATCATGGTCCAATTATATTAAACTGTGATTGATGGCAACTATCACATGTTCCTCTGCATGACGGTGTCTGGTAGTAAACATCTCATTTTTGTCACAGTGACACATTGATGATCAAATTGAAGATCAATAAGTGAAGGTAGTTATGCTTGATTTAATGCGTGTATTTTCCAGTAGCTCTATGGCAGCATTACAACATGTGCTGCAGTAACTGCGGTATTTACATTTACCTTTTTATTTTTATTTTCAAGCATTTTCCTGAAGGCAGATTTTCACATTTAAGTCATTACTCAACCGCTTTTTATGTGCAAAATGCGTCCGAAACAACGTTCACAGTCACTGCCGATAAGACTTTGTGCCCTTCATTCTTCCTCTGATTGCGAAAGACTTGGGCTTTAACATTGATTTCTTTCCGACTAATAACCTTAAAGACCTGATGTAGGACTCGTTCTTACCCATCGTCTTTGCCTCAGAATTGGTTTATAAGGCAAAAATGACTCAAAAAATGTCTTGGGTAGCGCATTGAGTTCCACTATCTGTGCCATTATGACACTGGTTGTTTGTTGGAGGTTTGCTCTACTTCCACAAGGGGGCGGAAGTAGAGCAAACTGGATGAGAAACCAGTGACAAACTTTACATTTTCAAAATCATGAATAGCCATTAAATATGTTGGTCAATGTTCCATTTTTTATGGTTCAAAAGCAGCTCTGTACTGGAGGGTTTCTTAGCTTCACTTTACTTGAAGTGTACTCATGCATTTGACAGTGAATCAAAGTTATGACTACTATACACTCTTAATAAATACAAATTCATTCCTGTTAAAGGTCAACATTCATCCCATCTTTTGTAGGAAGGTATTAGAGATATGAAAAAAAAAGTCCTTGAGTGCAAAAAAATCAAATAAAATAAGATTAGCAGGACAAAGACTTGTCATTGTGCTATAATACTAAAAGGTCAACCTAATTTTCTGACTGTGATCCCATGGTCCGGTTCCCCAGAATCTCCTTATCTTAATCAACAAGAAGTTGTGGAGAGCAGTTTTTATCTGTGGAGCCTTTTGTTGCTTTCAAATTGTTCATTTGTTGCCAACAGAAATCTTATGCTAGGTGGAAATGTTGTCTGGACCGACTGTAGCTGATACTATTGATGTGAAAGGTTGGCAGTGTGCATGTCAGGATCTTTGCTGACCCGTTTCAAGGGACTGCAGTCGATAGGGAGTCTGATTCTTCAGGGAAAAAAGTAAACCCGGTATTCAGGAATCTACTGAAGCAGCCAAAAAGAGTTGAAAAGCAAACAGTATAGGTTTGCATCCTTTCAAGCTTGTAAACAGAAGCCTAACAGAAACAATGCAAGCACTCCGTCAAATTGGCTCATTTATCAAAAGGCAGTGAAATGCAGACAGTCTTCTTTTTTTTCATGATACTGACAGTTTTTTGCTGCCTGTGTACGTTTGTGCTGAAGGTAACATATTTTGATGAAGTATCTGTCTGTAGAAAGACAAATATCAAAAGTTTCCCAAAAAACAAACTGAGCGTTAAAATAAAGTTATACTAACATATGAATAAAGTCAAAATATCACAAGAATAAAGTCGAAATATGAAAATAAAGTCAAAATTCAGAGAAAAAAAGTCAAAATATTATGAGAATTAAGTCGTAGTATTATGGGAATAAATTTGTAATGATATGAGAAAAAAGTAGGAATATTATGAGAAAAAAGTCATAATATTAAGAGAATAGAGTCGTAATATTCTGAGAATGGTCACAATATTACATAAATAAGAATGTAATAACATGTCATGTTATGAGATTGTTGCAATATTACAACTTTTATTCTTAAAATATTCTGACTACTCATAATTTTATGACTATTCCTGTAATTTTATTACTTTGTTATTATACAATGACCTTTTATGACAGATGCTGCTGAATAAACAAGTCACCAAGAGTTGGAAAGTTTCCTGAAATATTTTACTCTGCTGTGCTCAGAAAACATAAATCTAAAATTTCACCAACAGAAAAAGACGAATATATGCGACTAAACTCACTGCCTGCTTGTGAAGTTATGAGCAGTTTTCCAGGTAAAGTGATGCAATAGCAGAGCGAAGGTGTAACTGTGAGATCTATGAGGTTTCCATAAAAATGAAGCTGAAAAATGGGCAAACCACATTCTGCATAAGATTAGGAGGGAAATAACTTCTGTTTTGGTCATTCCTCATTCTGTAATTGGACAGATGTTTTAGTTCCCAGCTTCTCAGCTCACTGAGATGGAAATCCCAAAAGCCCCAATTATATTTGAGGGAAACTGTGATCAATATTCATACCTTAAAGAGACTTTTTTAAAATTATGATTTAAAAGTTTTATTATTTACGACAGCGTATTATCGGCATTGTAGATGGAAAAAAGGAGTAAATTTAGGCCAAAAATCTCAGAAATTTTCCAGAAAAAAACTAAAACATTTCAGGAACATTTGAAGTTCCAGAGCTCCAAAAGTGGCTAAACCATCTGCAGCGACTCAACATCTCTGGAGTTATTGTCAGAGTCGGAGATGCATGGTAAATCCGTTTTGTGATATTTGCAGTTTGAGTGGCATCCATATTGCAGATAGCCGGATATTTCCAGGTCAGTGGGAGAGAAGGAAACGAAAGCTTGGAAAAAATTATCACTTTATGTTGCAGCTAATATTTTTGTAAGTAGGTTTGTCCTAATTTATTTAATTTATTCTTGAATTGTGGTTAGGAGGAGGGCTTTGGGGCACATAAAATCAGTCCAGAGGCCGTAAGTGGCCCACAGACCCCACTTTGAGCATCTTTTATTTAAACAGGCAAAAGTGGCCTTATGAATTCAAAATATCTTTTCTGTGCAAAAATAAACACTGTAGAAAGATGGCGAGTTCACAACTTCAGACAAATTGTTCAGCTTAAGCTGATTCAATAATAAAAATGTTTCTGTTATAATTAACTGTAAATGTAATGTGATCCATGGTAACCAGCTGCTGTAGCTGATACTTTTATTGCTGCTGTAGACTGAAAGTTAAAGTAGAAATGAACCTGCGCACTGACTTCAAAGCCAAGACTAACTTCTTTATTTTATTTCATATTGAATGTTCAGAAGCATAGCCCGAAGAAAGGAAATATGTATAAAAAGGCTCCAGTCTCCACTCCAGTTACTTTTTATTATAATAATCTGCTGATAAGGTGCAGC